AGTGGTAGATACGCTGGAGGATAGGGATAGGATACAGAGGGACCTAGACAAATTAGAGGATTGGGCTCAAAAGAACTCTGATGAGGTTCAACAAGGACAAGTGCAGAATCCTGCACTTAGGATGCAAGAATTCCCTGCTACAGACTAGGGACCGAGCGGCTAGGCAGCAGTTCTGCAGAAAAGGACCTAGGGGGTTACAGTGGACGAGAAGCTGGATATGAGTCAACAGTGTGCCCTTGTTGCCAAGAAGGCTAACGGCATTTGGGGCTGTATAAGTAGGGGCATTGCCAGCAGATCGAGGGACATGATCATTCCCCTCTATTCGACATTGGTGAGGCCTCATCTGGAGTACTGTTCCAGTTTTGGGCCCCACACTACAAGAAGGATGTGGAAAAATTGGAAAGAGTCCATCGGAGGGCAACAAAAATTATTAGGGGGCTGGAGCACATGACTTATGAGGAGAGGCTGAGGGACTGGGCTTGTTTAGCTTGCAGAAGAGAAGAATGGGGGGGGGAGGGGGATGGATCTGATAGCTGCTTTCAACTACCTGAAAGATCGAAAGAAGATGGATCTAGAGTGTTCTCAGTGGTACCAGATGACAGAACAAGGAGTAACGGTCTCAAGTTGCAGTGGGGGAGGTTTAGCTTGGAAACTTTTTCACTAGGAGGGTGGTGAAGCACTGGAATGGGCTACCTAGGGAGGTGGTGGAATCTCCATCCTTAGAGGTTTTAAGGTCAGGCTTGACAAAGCCCTGGCTGGGATGATTTAGTTGGGGATTGGTCCTGCTTTGAGCAGGGGGTTGGACTAGATGATCTCCTGAGGTCCCTTCCAACCCTGACATTCTATGATTCTATGACTAAGCGAAGCATGCCTGGACATGTGACTTGCCCATGTGACTCCAAACACCATCTTGTTACCTGTAATTTTCCACAGTGACAACAATGGAATTCCCTTCACTTGGCAGATGCTATAAAAGGCCCTGGAAACATCTCCATTTTGCCTCTTTCTTGCTCAAACCTCTGGACTATGAACTTATACTAAAGGGAGCATTTTAACCAAAGGACTGAGGACCTTCCAATGATTTGGAAGCAACCAGAGATTTAACAAGCCAGCAGTTTATTCCTTCATTGCTACAAGCCTGAACCAAGAACTTTGCATTTATTTTATGTATTTGATTCCTTTAACTAATTTTAACTCTCACCTTTCATTCTTTTTATAAATACACCTTTAGATTTTAGATACTAAAGGACTGGCATCAGCATGGTTATTGGGTAAGATCTGAGTTGTATATTGACGTGGATGTATGGCTGGCCATTTGGGATCAGAAGAACCTTTTGTTTGATGAAGCTGGTTTTAAATAACCACTCATCATTAAGTCTAGTGTCTGGGTGTTGAATCCAAGACTGGAATACCTATGGAGGGTGCATTTCTGACTTGTTAGACAGTGAGGTGAGACAGAAGTTACTTTTGTTGCTGGTTTGGTATATCTCATGAAAGAATAACCACCAGGTTTTGTTTTTTTTTTCTTTTCTTTTTTTGGGTGGGGAGGAGGGGGAGGGGAGGGAGCGTCTGCCATTTTCCCCAGCAGCTCGTCCTGAATTTGGTATTCTCAGTTGTGACCCACGAAAGCACAACTTCTTGTTGAACCTGGTTGCAAACCGGCCTACGACACTTGGTCCTTTAAACGACCACACACGCATCTGAGAGCTGTCCCTGCTTAATTTATCTGCCTAACACATTGCTCTCCCTTGCTAAACAGAGGGCCATCAGGAAGACATTGTGTGTTTATCTGCCCTCTTAGAGATAGGTTGGCAGGAAGCAAGAGCCACACAAACTGCTTTAACAGGTTGCAAAAGTTCATCCTACTTCTTGAAGGAACTCCTAAAATGTTGAATACCAGATGCGATGTTTCATATTGTAAATTAAAACACACTAGCTATATTAAAACTACAAAAAACTAATTGAATATTAATAGACTATTCCTATAGGACACTACAGTATGAGAAAACCCTGGATCCTCAGGAACAGACTGTTCACTTCACCTGGTGCTGAGGTATGAAGAAACGAGGCAATAGAGGGCACAGAGCCCCCTTTTATGCCCTTCCCCTCAGAACATTAGCAAACATTGAGGGGAGGGATGAGTGGGGCACATGAGCACTGCTTGGAGAAGATTCCACAGTTGGGCTGCACTGGTCAGTGCATTACCCATAAGCAGGAATATACTGGGCCACTCAAAGAATCATCAGGTACCACCTTTTACTCTCACTTTCATACAGGCTCACCATCCTTTCAGTGGGATTTTTTTTAAAAAAAAACAGCAGTGCAACTTCAAGAGCAGGCTTTTAATGCTAATTATTTGCAGGCTGTATTCAGAAAAAGAACTGAGATACCACAATGTACAGCCTTCTGAAGGAGAAATCCGCTGAAGTTTGGATGGCTAACATGTCAAGTCTCATGAACACATGCAGAGATAGACAAGTTGCTACCTTGCAGATTTCTTCGTATGATGCAAAGGAGTTCTCTGCCCATGAAGGGGATACTGCTCTGCTTTGCTGACTTCACTTTTACCTAAAGATTTCAGAACTTTAGTTTTGCAAGTCTTCTTGATGCAAAATTTTAACTACCCAATAGATACTTTTTTACCTCATGGGTGTTATATTACAAATAGGATACAAGACTTTCTATAGGAGTGTGATCTTACATGTTTTGAGCACCCTGCAGACATTTAGCATGTATCATTGCCTTTCTTTGGGGTGTTTTGGTTTGGTGCAGAATTGGGAAAGAATGATCTCCACTCTATGAAAGAGTGAACTTTTGGAATTAAAGCAGGCTCCAGGAAGAATACCTCTTTAACAGCATTGAAGGTACAGTACTGGGATAATTCTCCCAGTTCAAGACTTCCATTGCTCAAGTGGTAGCCACCTGTAATGCTACTTTAATGGAGAAGTAAATCAAAACTAATGTGTCCAACAACAGATTCAACTTCCACAGGGCTCCCCTATATATTTCCAGAAGGTTAAATAGGGAGACTGCTGTGAAAAAGCACTTGATACGAGGGGAAGACGTCCTAGAACTATTCACCCCCAATATGCTGATGAATGCTTTTGGAGAGTGTATGCCTTCAGTTCAATCGCCAGACTACCCCAGCAGTATTCCAGAATTAGAAATTTGTTTGATGCTTTGATTCTTCATGTTCTTCTCTACACCATGAAGCACAACTGAACAAAATTTTAGCATATTCCAAGTCTGTTTATTTTTTTCTCAAAGCTAGGAGACTTAATTGCTTCCCCTCTCCCAACAGTTGTTTCTATTTAGCATCTACACTGCTGAGTATCCGTGGGTCCAGGTGCACTAACAATCCTTGATTTAGGACGTCTTTCAAAAGTGGTAGAGAGAAAAAGAGGACAGTACCATCTTATCTAGAAATAATGGTCCTCTGGTATGGGCTAGGTACTTCTCTGGTTCCCAGCATCATAGCATTCATAAATATTAAAGGAGTTATCTTTACAACGAAAATGTGAAGTATATCCCCAATTTTACAGAACGAAAACCCAGACACAGAGAGATTAAGTAATTAGCCCAAGATCCCCAGGAATTGAACCCAGATCTCCTGAGACCTAGTGCCTCAATCACAAGACCGTCCTTCCTCCCTTAGGTTCAGTGGATTCTCCTTTGATAGGGAGCCTGCCATCCCTAACTAACTGAAGAAGCAGTAGAGGCTTAGCTGGCTTTTGGTAGAAGGTTGCCTTTGAATGGCTGTCCAATTAATCCCTTACGGTAGCAATGGCTGAATAAAACTATTGGGAGGGTGGCAGTCTGATTGTTTGTTTTGTACCAGCACAAGATTTTTTAGACAGATTAGAGAGCCTCTTAATCTTGTTTGGTAATTCCCACTCCAATTTAACTACATGCTTTTGTAATTATTAGAGGTATACTGAGGTCTCTTCTGGAAGTTGAAGGAAAGATTTTTTTTATTTTATATTATATATATATATATAATTGAGGTTCAATACCCATAGGGATGACCACCTTTGCTTCCTAAGCTTTATCCTGAATGGAATCTCTCCTCTGAGAGAAGAGATCTTGAAGTAGACAGTTCATTCTTATACTCAGGCTTGCTCCAAGTTCAGAGAAAGCAGGATGGTGGACCATCTGTTGCTGCTGGGAGGCAGTGAACTGGCAAATTTTCCAGAAGAGAGTCAAGCATTTGTCATCCCCAGGGACTGACAGATTTGAAGCATAAAAAAGGAATACCACTGTAGGAGGCGTGAGATTCTAAATCCTCCTTTTTCCATCCACTGCAATTCTTATCTAGAATTGTTTTCTCTCAGTGTGGAAGTGACTGTAGGTCTATATATACACACTACTCACCTCTTGAGGACGCATGTAGGGGATGCGTAGTCATGCACCACAATGAAAAGCAGGCTGTGTTCACACTGCAGTGTGTAGTTACATGTAACAGTGAAAGGCTCTGGCAAGGGGGAGGCAGAGCAGAAAAGCTCATCAGTGGAGAATTGCCAGAGCCTTTCCTTGCTGCTGGAGTCTTTCAATGCAGCAGGGAAAGGATCCTGCAGCAGGGAGGCAGTGTAGACAGGGAAAGCACTGCATCGGTGAGTTGAGAGCTCTATAGGGTTCATACCACATGGTTCAGGAGAGGCTTTACTTGCTTAAGCATTGCCTCACCGTCTATGCTGCTATTTATACCTGTACGGGGCAGGGGTGTAGTGTTTGTACACTACAGGCTACCAAAAGGAGGGTGCAGTGTACTTTGTAACAAAAACTAGGATAATGGAGCTGTAGTGATACTTATGGGACTGCTGCAGCCCTTCCTTTTCCAGCGCACTAAATACAAGTTTGCAAAAAAAGAAGGAAAACCATATTATAGAGGATAAGCAAAAGTCAAAATTCTTGCTAAAGATATCATTAATTATACATTATCAGTTATTATACCAGATTACTTTCAATAGCTCTATAAATCCACAAGAGAAAGAGAAGTATACCTTATTGATAGCGCAGGCTGTCTTTTCTCGTGTAGATCCACTACTTGTCCTTATGATCTTTGATAAGTCTTCTCGAGCAGCAAGAAGGTGGGCAAACGTAATGGTTGTTTTAGGAGATAGTGCGTAACGTTTGGGCTGATAAATTCTTGCTATGTCATCTGTTTTAACCTAAATGATAAAGTCAAATATAATTTAGTAGCTAAGTATTTCATGTACAAAAATGCAAATGCTCAATGGCTGTTTGGTGACTTATAGTCAGTGTGAGTTTACACAGAGCACAAAGTTTAGACATTCAAACTACCTTAGTAAAAACAGTGCCAGTCACTCTTATAAATGCCTCTTGGCCTTGCTCACAACAATCAGCTACTGTACAAAAAAAAAAAAAAAAAAAGGGGACAATGCAGGTGTTTAGTTAATGCTGAAGCCTAGTACTACCTATCACAAATTGACATGGTCTAGTCCATGCCCCATCCTGTAACCAGTCCCTTGTGAGTGACACCTTTAATGTGTCAAACCCCAAGGGTCCACACAGTTCTACAGGGGAAGGCCCACAGCGTCCATGGGTCCAAAACTGAGCCTTTGGGCACCAGCCATCCCTGTCTCTCTGTGGCTCCCTGCAGCAAATCCAGTCAACCCAGATGCCTGCGGGAGGCCTGTACTATACCCGTTCATGGTGCAATGGTCTCAGTATGTATTTGCATGCAGTCTTTTCAAAAACAAGATAACAATTTATTATGTGTACCAGGTGACTAATCTAAAAGTGCTTAGGTTAACATAGAGAAGCAAAGGTTAAGACAGTTCAGATTGGCTCAAGTCACGGCTCCCTTGAGCCATGTTGCTGAAGGAACCATCTCTGCCTCCCTTCTGTGTCTAGTTTCATTTCCATTAGTTTCAGGTGACTATCCTGTATCTCTGACAGTTCAGCTCTTAACGTAGACACCTAGTACCTTTTGTCTTTGTTCTCTGGACACAGCCATGCTGTGTTCACATCTTCAGCTGCCTCTGCAGCTGTTAAATTTTGATCATTGCGGTTTCCATGGTCTCTGTAGGGCTTCCAATCAAATGTATTATTCCAGCTCAGACAGTCCTAGTGGCTATATGTCTCAAATACCTACCCTGGTCTCCCACACCATATGGAGAAAATAAATTCTTTCCCCCCCAATGGATAGCAATGCCAACATGACAGTTACAGAGTCATATAGATAGCTCATAAAAATATTGAGAATTCCCACATTCATCACACCACCACAACACCTCTCCTTCTCACTGGAAACAAATGGAATCTCTATTTTCCAAAGTATCCAAAGGTCCAGCACTTTAGAAATAAGGCTGCTATTTTAAAGGATTTAAAATATGGTCAATTGATTACAAAAAAAAAGAAGTCAGTATTGCATAGATACCAGCAAGAAGGGCAAAACTACAATGACATTGTGCAGAATGTGAAAAGAAACTGACAAGGAGAGAAAATATGAACTTTTTAAAAACAGGGAACAAAGGGAGAGAAAAAAAATGCTCCCTGGGAGACTGGGAGCTTCAGAGCAACTGGACATTTGCCTGTTAACACTGGAGACACACTGTTCCCTGCAGTAATATATTGTTAAGGAATGACTGACAGTAGGACTTTCCCACCGTGGGAAACAATACCTGAATTCAAGAAACACCATGGTCAAAAAGTGGAAACACTGGGGCCAATAATATCTAAATCAAGGGTGGGCAAACTTTTTGGCCTGAGGGCCACATCTGGGTATAAAAAGGGGCAAGCCTGATGTGAGACGGGTGGATGTTCTCTGCAGCTCTGCCCCCCACTCCTCAACTAATCGAACAGAACTAAGTTAAATCTCACCCAGCATTATCTGAAGTCCTTCCCAACTGTATAACATTCAGGACAATATCAGGTGAAGGAGGCTGCCTACACTACCTGGCTCCAGACCAGAAGGTAGGGAGGAGAGAAAATGCCTCTCTGAAGATATCTCCAAGAAGAGCTGCAGGTTTTAAGGAATGAACCTTTCCACCTATTGTTAGAGCTGAAAGTATTAAGGAAAAGAGGGAGAGAAGGATCTGGATCTCTGTAGCTTCTTCTGTAACCTGTTACTTTTTTCCCCAATTAAGGAGTCACCTGGCTCAAAACCCCTGCCCCCAAAATCTTACAAGCTATACAAAAATAAACAGTCAGTCATATGAATATATCACGTAGATCTGAAATCTGCTCTTGTAAATATATATTGTTCTCAGATAAATATTTATAAGATTCCATGTACATGTTATGAGACGCTATATGCAACTGAAAATTGATTTCACAAGGCTAAATTTAAAATTTTCCAAAATGACAGTTCTTTTTTCCAGGTGCAATCTGCACCTACCAATATCATACCTGCATTTTACATCCGTAATTTCAATAACAGCTATAAAATTGAGTAATTGTGCCTCTTGCTACCTCATGTGTATCTGTGTTCAGGTATGAAGAGACATAAGTACTCAGATTTGCACTTGTAATTCATTTTTGCAGGCAAAAATTGTACCCTCAAAATGGAAGTTGCGCTTCAACCCTTTGAAAATCTACCCAGTAATGGAACTTTAATACAAAATTACAATAGGCCTTCTGGAAATCTCAGTAACTGTATTTAGTTTTTGCAGATTTTCTAAGAACAGGCTGCTGACTCATCTCACCACTTTAACTTCATTAAATAAAACAATGGTACACTTTCTTCGTGATTGAACAAAAGCTATTTAAATAGTTTTTAATGTCACATCTAGGAACTAATACGATATCAAATGACTCAAATAAAGTCAATTTAAGCTACGGTCATAAATTAAATACAATTTTAATATTATTTATTAATAATTATTTTAAATTATTTAAATGTGAGGATTTATATAGTTGTACACAGAGCAGTGTGGAACAATATAAGACAGACAACCTCTACTTTATCCTTGGTATAGAATCGTAAGAATATAGGCCTACATCTTCAAACTTGGGTGTCTAAAGTTAGGTACTTACATCCCTATTTAAGCACCTAAATAAAAGTTGCCTTGCTCTGAATTCTACTGGATCAGTCGTCCTTCAGTCATAAGGCAAGAAAAAAAATGTGTTTGTGGAGAGGAAGAAAGGAAAGAAATGTATGCAGTAGTCTCCTTACCACAGCGAGTTAACTCTTTTTTCCTTTCCTCTCCTACAGTGCATCAACATTCATGGAAGCTGCTGAGGTGAGAGGTGCACAAAGAAGCAATAGCTGAACGTTTGAGAATAAATTTTCAAAGCTGCATACGAAGATGTAGCTGCATCACTCCCACTGATATTTAATGAGAGTCATGCAACTGAGGTTTTGTCTGCACTTGCATTAAGCTACAACAGACAACACCAGGTAGGTTTTTAAAAACAGATCTGTAAGTTGTTTTCCATTATTTTCAGTATGCATGCAAAGCCTTAAACCAGTTTAAAAATGGACAGGACCTAAACTATTGTATTCCTTTATGAGTAAAGTCTTGTGGCTCATGCACAGAACTGGGAGTTAGGATGTCTTTGTGCTATTCCCAGTGATTCCATAAGCTTCCTGTGTGTCTACTGGTCAAATCACAACCTCACTGTGGCTCAACTTCCTAATTTGCAAAATAGCCAGCACTGCCGGGGATGGGGGCGGGGGGCGGGCGGAGGAAAAGGGGCAATTTGCCCTGATCCTCACCCTCGCGCTCCTCAAACTGAGTGGCATTGCAGCCTGCCATACAGGGTTGCAGTGCCTCTCAGGAGAGGCAGCTGGGCAAATTTGAGCGAGCAACATTACAACCTGGCACCAGGTTGCAAAACCTGGAGCAGAGAGCTGGGCCCAGACCAGCAGGACAGGAGCCACGGCTTCAAGGTAAGTTTGTTCTCCAACACTTACAGAAGGGCCTCTCCTCAGCAGTAAAGGGAGAGTAGAAAAAGAGAGAAGGTAGGAGCACTTTGCACAAAAATAGAGATGTTGAGTACAAACTTAATCAGGGAACCAAGGGACATGAAAAGAAGAAATTCTTGAATTGCTTGTACAGCAATGCTAGGACCCTGGGTAACAAACAAGAGGAATTAGAATTACTCATTTATGAGTATAAATTCAATTTAGTTGGGTATTACTGAAACCTGGTGGGATGATTCACACAATTGGAATGTTAAAAATCAATGGTTATAAACTATTTAGAAGGATGGAGTGCAAAAAAGGGGAGGGAGTGGCATTCTAGGTCAAAAATGGCATTGCCCGTTTCTGAGTAACTGATAATTCACAAGAAAATGAACTTGAATGCTTACGGATCTATATCCTTAACAGATAAAGCACAAGATGGGGTATTAGTTGGTGCCTGCTACAGACCACTAAATCACACTAGGGAACAGGATAACTGCCTCCTTATGCACCTATGTAGAACGATGTGTAGTGAAAAATTTTGTATGATCAAAGGGGACTTCAATTTGAGTGACATGCTGGAGGACACATGTACTCAGTACTAAAACATCTATGAAATTTCTAAACATTATAGATGACAATTTCCTAATTCAAAAAGCGTTGCAGTCAACAAAGGGGAATTCTTCATTACACCTTGTCTTAACAGATAAAGAGGAACTGATCACAGATCTAAAAATTAATGGTAGCTTAGGTACAAGTGATCATGACATGAACACATTATTTTGCTTGCACATTATGAAAGTCCAGACCAGTAATATATGTACTTGGTGCTTTAATAGGGCTAATTTCACAGAACTGAAACAATTATGAGTCAAAACTACTGGGAGGTAGAATTTAATCAGAAAAATGAATCATAACTGGGAATCATTTTAGAACACCTTCCTAGATGCCCAAAAAGCCACAATCCCAGAATCCAGGAAGGCGGCCTACTGGTCAAAAAATTGACCAGGTTTAGAGAGTAAGTGAAAAAACAAATGGAGGAAAGGGGAAGTTGAGAATAATTAATATAAAGCTGAAGTTAGGAACTGAAGAAAATTGATAAGGGAAGCAAATGGACACAGAGAAATCTAAGGCCAGCAAGAGTTAAGGATAATAAGGACATTTTAAAATATATTATAAATAAAAAGAATCTTGACAAAGATATAGGTCCATTACTAGATGGAAATAGTAGAATTATGAATAATAAGGCAGACGCGTTCAATAAATGTTTCTGTTCTGTATTTGGGAGAAAAGCAGATAATATAGTTTCCTCATATGGTGATAACACTATTCCATTTTACTGGTATCTCTTGAGGACGTTAAATAGAAACTAAAATTAAACATTTTTAAATTATCTGGTCCAAATACCTTGCATCCAAGAGTTTTAGAAGAGCTGGCTTAGGAGCTTGTTGGATGGTTAATGTTGATTTTTTGTAATAAGTCTTGGAGCACTGGGCAAGTTCCAGAAGACTGGAAGAAAGCTAAAGTTGTGCCAATTGTTAAAAAGGGCAAATGGGATGACCCACATAATTACAGGCCTCTCAGCCTGACATCAATCTTAGGCAAGATCAGAATGGAGCAGCTAATATGGGCTTGATTAATAAAGAATTAAAAGAGGGTAATATAATTAATACCAATCAGCATGCATTTGTGGAAAAAAGATCCTGTCAAACTAACTTGATATTTTTTTTATGAGATTACAAGTTTGGTTAATAAAGTTAACAATTTTGATGTAATGTACTCAGACTTCTCTAAGGCATTTGACTTGGTACCACAAAACATTTTGATTAAAAAACTAGAAAGCTATAAAATTAATATGGCTCCCATTAAAAGCTGGCTAACTGACAGGTCTCAATATGTAATTGTCATTGAGTAAGGCTATGATTTAGTCACAGAGGTCATGGATTCTGTGACTTTAGCAGACCTCCGTGACTTCTTCCGTTTCAGCTGTCAGCAGCTGAAGCGGGGACTGGAGGCAGAACTGTGCGGCCCTGCCCTGCTGCAACTGGGTTTGGATAGCTGGAATCAGGACCCTGCAGCCCCTGCCCTGTGGTTTGCAGAGGGTGGGGGAACTGCAGCCGGGCTCTGTGCCCTGTCCTGCAGCTGCAGCCAGCTCCGGAGTGGGGGCTGTGCCCTCTCATGGCTGTGCCCCTTGCTGCGCCCTTCCCACCATGGAACTCCATTCTTCCCCCTATTTAGCCCTACCCCTGGTTATTTTTAGTAAAGTCACGGATAGGTCATGGGTTTTGTGAATTTTTGTTTATTGCATGTGTCCTGTCCATTAATTTTACTAAAAATAACCATGACAAAATTGTTGGTGTCATTAGGCATAACCCTAGGTAACTTGGGAGGGTGGAAGACCACAAGTGTCGATGAAGCCTTCCTGCACTAGGCCTAAATGAACCAAAGTCCTTCCATGTTTAAACTCTAATCGACCTCAAAAGCCAGATGCAGAAATTGGAATGTGTAACAGCCAGTTATCAGGTGCAGCACCGTTCATACCGGTGCCAAGCGGTAATAATGAGGCCTGCATACTTCTGGCTGAAAGGCAAAATAACATATCAAAGGAAAGGGACAAGATAATAATTCAATGAGAAGTTACTAACAAACTGGACTTATAGCCGCCAAGATGATTTAACTGCTTAAATGTAATTGCTTGCTACTTGCTTAATGTAAACTATTACCCCGGGGGGGGGGGGGGGAAAAAGCTTAGCAGCAAAATGTATAAAAAGAGAAAAGCTGCTTATGATGGTGTGCTTGATCTGAGATGTGCCAGTCTCCTTGCACTGCTTTGAGATCTCAAATAAGCTTTGATTGCTTCTCCACCCTGGTGTGTGTTCATTGGTGCGAAGCACACCGGGCAACGAACCCCGCTGTTGCTTTTCTCGGGCACTCTGTGCCGGCAACAAAATCTTAGCCTTATCACTAGGCAGTTGTGTTCCAGCGGAGTCACGCAGGATCGGTTCTTGAACCTATGCTATTTAACCTTTTTACCAATGACCTGGAAGAAAGCATGAAATCACCACCAATAAAGTTTTCAGATGACATAAAAACTGGAGGAGTGGGGAATAATGAAGAAGACAGGTCACTGATTCAGAGTGATCTGGATTTCTTGGTAGACTAGGTGAAGGCAAACAATATGCATTTTAATGTAGTTAAATGTAAATATATACACATCTAGGAACAAATGTAGGAAATACTTATAGGATGAAGGACTCTCTCCTGGGAAGCAGTGACTCTGAAAAAGATTTGGGAGTCAGGATGGATAATCAGCTGAACACAAGCTCCCACTGTGACACAGTGGTCAAAAAAGCTAACAGGACTCAGGGATGCATAAACACAAGAGTCTTGAGTAGAGAGGATTATTTTGCCTCTATGTTTGACACAGGTGTGACCACTGCTGGAATACTGTGTCCAGTTCTGGTGCTCACAATTCAAGAAGGATGTTGATAAATTGGAGAGGGTTCAGAGAAAAGCCATGAGAATGATTGAAGTATTAAAAAACGTGCCTTATAGCGACTATTTAGCTTAACAAAGAGAAGGTTAAAAGTGACTTACTTAAAAGTAAGTACGTATATGGAGAACAAATATTTAATAATGGGCTCTTCAGTCTAGGAGAGAAAAGGTTTAACATGATCCTATCGCTGGAAGTTGGAGCTAGACAAATTCTTATGGAAATAAGGTGTAAATTTGTAACCACTAGAACAATTTACCAAGGGTTGTGGTGGATTCTCCATCACTGATAATTTTTAAATCAAGATTGGCTGTTTCTCTAAAAGTATGCTGTAGGAATTATTTTGGGGAAGTTCTATGACCAGTGTTTTGCAGGCCAAAGTAGATGCCTCACAATAGTCCCTTCTGGTCGTGGAAGCTATGATTTTTTTTTTTTTGCAAAGGCGGGAGGGGGGGGCGACTGTTTCAGATTTTGCCTCAGCCTCCCCCAAATCTCTCAGCACCCCTCATAATACTTCTCTACCTTTCAGAGATGCTAGGATCATTAATACGCTCTTTTTTTCAAGTGTTCATATATTAAAACAGTGAGCACCATAGAAATGCTTAGACATAATCTGAAAACATACTCAGACATTAGGATAGTGGGACAGACAGTTACTGATGCGTAAATGGTTTGTTCCACAGTTTTTTTTAAGTCTTTTGGAAAAACTATACCACCAACAGGCATACCCCATAGTAGTGATTTGGAAACTTCCCCATGAGGCAGATACCACCTTTCTGGCTCACTGAACCATTACTGATAACTGAATTTTTCTGATATAAGCCACTGTTCACCTTGATAAAGTATGAATTGAAACTAGCAGAGGAGAGACAAATGGCTATTTGAGTATGTCACAGAATCATAGAATATCAGGGTTAGAAGGGACCTCAGGAGGTCATCTAGTCCAACCCCCTGCTCAAAGCAGGACCAATCCCCAGACAGATTTTTGCCCCAGATTCCTTAAGGCCCCCTCAAGGACTGAACTCACAACCCTGGGTTTAGCAGGCCAATGCTCAAACCACTGAGCTACTCCCTCCCCCTTGTGCTGGGTTCAAAAGCTTGGGGTTCATTAACTGGCAGCATTCAGTTAGTAGGTTCTTTAGACCAATCCCAAGGATTCTGTAGCTCTCGAGGGGTGGATGAGCGTGTCTCTCTGTATGAGGAACACTTTAAAGCTTTTTCCTACAATACCACAAGGGAAAAACAAAAATAAAGGGAGACTGACATCTTCAAGTGAAGAACACCACTAGAATTTATGTGGATCACAAGGATTGGTGGATTTGACTGTTTAGTCAAACCTTTCTCTCTCCACAACATGCAGGGAATGTACGTTACAAGTAGTGCTCAGAAAAGTTAGTTGTAATGAGATATCTTCAGTAAGACAGCTTGGAGAATTGTAACAAACTACCACCACCTACAGGAAGCAAACAATAAAGCATGTTTACCTTTGCTCTATCAGACCATCCAAAGGATTGTACGGTCACATCAAGCCGCTTCATTAACATCCGACGACGACATTCATATTCACTGCAGAGGGCATCATTGATTTTTTCCAATCTTTCCTACGGCATTGCAATAAATAGGACAAATATTTGATTCCATTAAAATACACAAGCTAACCTGCCTCACCAACGAAAATGTCTGTCAACAGTTGACCATCATGAAAAACCACTTAACAAAAATTGGGCTGTGACCAATTGCTACAATGTAAGTGAATATCTTCTACAACTTTTTATATAAATTCATGTAACAAAATCGATCTATAAACAAACTAGTGTATGAAGTATTTGAACAGGATGTCAAAGGTATTATACCATTAAATCAAATTTAACATTGAACATTCACTATCACACTACTTAAAATAGAAACTGCAAAACAAGTATGAAAAGCCAGAAAATAAGGTCACCAGCATTAATTTTGCCCATTAATTTTGAAATAAGAAAAGTAAAATGGAGAGGGGTTTTACCGTCTGATCAGGATTCAAAGGTGTTGTTAGCAGTGGTTTCCCCACATGGGTATTTTTTACTTTTGAAAGAATGTCCTTGATCTGAAACAAAACACACACACCCTTCTCAGAAAACAACTCATGCTCCCAAACGTACAAGTTTTTACCAAAAATTGGTGCTATTATGGGGTGTTCAATATCTTCATATAAAATTAAACTAGGCTATTTTAGCTTGCTTGTAAGAGGAAGTCTCAAATATTTTTATAGCAGGGCCACATCTTAACAATGAGACAATTACTTACAGTGAAAATTAGAATGACGGAAATATTTATTGTATTTTAGCTATCGAATACAATGTAGCAGCTGGAAACAAGGAAATCCAGCACCAAATGACCCATCAACAATTGTGAAGTGAAATATTTTGGGAGCAACTACCTCATATATGAAGCTAAAGATAAGCGCTAGTATTAAAAGTACATCTCTACCCTGATATAACGTGACCTGATATAACACGAATTCTGATAGAACGTGGTAAAGCAGTGCTGGGGGGGAGGGGAGAGGGGGCAGGGCTGCGCACTCCGGCAGATCAAAGCAAGTTAGATATAACACGGTTTCACCTATAACGCGGTAAGATTTTTTTGGCTCCCTAGGACAGTGTTATATCGAGGTAGAGGTGTAGTAGCTAAAGATCTTGTCTTGCCACTTCTCTCTTAATCCCATTACTAGCTTTTTCTGTATCCAATTCTACATCTTTATCTTCAGAGGTCTGACCAGCACCACCCCTACTTACATTTCTGCCTTTAATTTCTTATTTCCCCTTGTGTTCTCTATGCTCTCCTCTACCTTCCTCCTAACTGCTCTATCTGCATCATCCCTTTCATCATAGTAAACTGCTCCATCCCACCTTGATATTAGTTCCCTCTTCATTCAGCTGTTTTCTTCATGTGCAGTTCTTCAATTGGCCTCAAAGTCATGTAGAAATTATGTGGGCAGTCATTCAAATATTTGATCCTTTATGCAGGATTCTGTGCATCTGAACAGTACAGTCCATAACAAATTTAGGATGTAAACTTGGGATGCTTGGAGAAGAGACTGTACCCTCATTAATTTTTGTTTTTTTAAACGAAAGTGTTTAGACAATAATCATCCAAATGAAAATAAAGCTAGAACTGATGCAATTTTACACTCTATGAAGGATAATTATGACAGCTTAAGAAAGGATGCCATTATAAACCTAGACCCAAGGCAAACCAACAGATCATTTCCTCAAGGCTGAAATTACCTGCATGTACACACTCAGGCATTTGTAGAAGATACATGGTATAAGGATAAATTCCAAATTCTCTTTCCACTAAAACTCCAACAATCCTAGACCTTTCTGTCAGAGGGTAGAGAGCTGCCATATTTTATATACATTATAGGACCTTTGCAATAAATTGTTAAGAAGCAGCTTTAAGCTGTCACTAGGAATCAAAATCTACAGCATAATCAATGCGTTAAGAAACCTATTTAGTAGCAATATTTTTAAGTGAATTAATTCATTCCCCTTTTTCTTTTTTATAGCTGATTCATGGTTTTATTTTTCTTGGTGTCAACAAAACCAAGAGGAAAAATTCTGTTCAGTATGTCTCATATATGAGTGTTTATATAGCCCGAGGAGAGCAAGAACCTTTCCTCCACTTTTCTTTTGGAAAATATGGTATTTTGAGTTTGTTTTCCCATACATCAGTGACACAGACAGAAAGCACTGAAGTAAGTTTCTTCAAATTGTGATTTTGCCTACAACAGATTATTAACAGCACACTGAAATGAGTAGAAAACGGTCTAGAAACTTACTGGTTTGACTCCAGCACAAAATGGCCTGCTAGACAGTGTAAGGTGATCCTCTGGTGGTTTAGAACAGGGGTCGGGGCAACCTTTCAGAAGTGGTGTGCTGAGTCTTTATTTATTCACTCTAATTTAAGGTTTCGCGTGCCAGTAATACATTGTAACGTTTTTAGAAGGTCTCTGTCTATAAGTCTATAATATATAATTAAACTATTGTTGTAGGTAAAGTAAATAAGGTTTTTAAAATGTTTAAGAAGCTTCATTTAAAATTAAATTAAAATGCAGAGCCCCCCGGACCAGTGGCCAGGACCCGGGCAGTGAGTGCCACTGAAAATCAGCTCGCGTGCCGCATTTGGCACGCATGCCATAGGTTGCCTACCCCTGGTTTAGAATCTCCTCTGCCACCCCCTCCCCAGTGCTGTCCACATTGAGACTATGGATAAGAAAAGAGGACATGGCCAGGGCTTCCTTATGCCCCACTGATCCCCCATCTGCTATACTGGCTCCTTGAGGGCATCAGCAGCCTGCATAATTTACAGCCAACTTCAGGCTTGTCCAAATTAACAGGGGGACCACTCTGGTGTATACCATACCAGGATCAGGAGAATTTCAAAGCCACGTGTTCATATACTAGTACGAGCTGCGCATTCCTCAGCCATAGCCAAGGGTCTGGCCACTGTGCCTGGATTTTAGTAAACTACTTGTATACCATATCACAACATCTGCCTCAAAAGTCAAATTGGCTTAAATAAATACTATCATGGGACTTGAACTAAAGCTAATAAATGGCAAAGTAACAACCTTTATGGTGGCATAGTTGGTGAACTGCAAGGATCGATAGGAAGAGGGAATAAGAAGCACATTAAATGACAATTAGAAATGACACTGAAAGAAGTCGCTCGCACACACACACACACACACACACACACACACACACACAGAGTGAGTCTGGGACAGAAATGTAATTTTAAATGCTCTAATGAGATCACAAAGAAGAGCAAAATGTATCAAAGTGAGATTCACTTTGGAAAAAAATACAAACCCAGACATCCGAGAGGAAAAAGAAAAAATCTAAAACAAGCATAATGTGGGAAAGAAAACCTGGAAAGCACTGATGCTAAAGGAGACCTAGAAATGAGATTTAACAGCAAATCAGACATGAATTTGCAATGGGATAGGGTTACTACAACAATTCTGGGCTCCATATCCAATAATCATTAGGAAGAAGCCATAAACATAGATAATATGCTCAATATAGGACAGGCACAATTGGAATGCTCAGGTCAGCTCCACACACCTATCATTAGCATAAAGATTGAGACATAATAGGGAATCTAGAAAAGAGGAACAAAAAGGAGTGGGTTGGAGGAATGGACTCATGAGGAAAGATTAAGAAGTGCCAAATGCATATGGTTTAGCAATGCCAAGGGAGAAGGGAGAGATACAACTCTCTTAGTATTTACCGACAACACACAACGATAGACTATACCATATGCAATGAAACTAAGGAACAGACAATTTAAATATCAGGAAAAGTGTCCTCAAAGTGAGATGCCCCATTGTTTATAAGAAACTAGACAAAGACTGTAAGATGTTCTAGAGGCAACAACCTTGTATTGGCTGGGAGATTAAACCGATGAGCTGTGAAAATTTCTCTAACTTCTATACCATACTTTTGTGAGTTTAAAGGAATACATACACACTTCCGTCCAGAGTCAACTTTATTAGTCAGCAACATTAATTTAAAAAAAGTAGTAACATTTTGGGTATGCCTACACTACAGCAGCACCACAATCAACAGAGTCTGGGCATGAGCAGCCACACTACAAATCCATATGCAAATTACTGTGTCCTCGCTGGTGCTGTACTCACTCACGTATGCCACTAGGACTTTTGGGGGCATATCGGATGGTTCATTGTGCTGCTTCCAGCTGAATTGCTCTGTGATTCTTTCCCAGTGAGTTGTGGGAGAATTTGCTGTCTGGGCACACAGGGGAATTTGGGAGAAGGTACTGGATGACTATCAGCACACATGTGCTTTAGCACATGTTCTCACTGCAAACTGGATGGGTTACCAGCCTGCGTGAAAGCAGCACACATGCTTTAGTCTGCTGTCCCAAACAAGCCAGCAAGCCTGAATAGAAAGCACCAATAAACTCATGTCAACGGTATTTTGCATGTGGAACTGAGAGGGGTTAACAGAAATACCCAAATAAGAGCCTAGGCTAACTCTACAGTGAAGACATACCCTTTAAAGCAAATTTAGAAACATGCCATATGAAAGCAACCTCAACATATGGTTATTGTGTACTTAAAACAGATGAGTAGATCAGAGTCATAGAAGACAACCGATCCATCCAGAAGTCATAGTTGCAGGAGCACACATTTGACTAATTAAGAGATATTTTTACAACATCACTGTCACCACTGTGCATTTCTAGGGCAATTCTGAAAATTATGTATATCCTCTAGTAAATATGTTAGTCACTGAACCATCTGATCTGTTTTTCTACTGTTTAAAAAGACACAGCCAAGTTTCTGGTTATTGCACTAAAATCTATTACGTTTTAAAATATGCAGCTATCCTGTACCTAACAATTAAAAATCCCACGCGTTAAATCTGCTTTCCTCCTTTCCTTTAATTTTCTTTAAGCTGCTTTCCTCCCTTTCCTTTAATTTTCTTTAAGCTTGTAGCTCTTTTATAAGTTTTAAAAAAGTCAAGCAAAAGCTGGACAAATTGTGAAGCCCTGGGGTTTCACAAATCGAAGATGCATAAAGATTCTACAATATTTCTCAAGCGCTAGGACAAGGAAAACTAATATGTATAAAACGAGTATGTGAAGAAACAATTGCACCATTAATTCTTAATAGTTGCATACAATATGGCACAATGGATTAATACACTAGTTTTGACACCTATGCCCCAAAGCAAGCATAGCTGGTATCAATTCATTGCTGAATTGGCAGGCATTTTGGAAGAGAAGTACAAAATAGTTTTCACATAAAAAGAAAAGTTTGCACTGGAATTTTCTGTTTGTTTCAGTACCTGTTACATAAGTTACAGCAGTAATATTTTTATACATCAGTGCAGACAAAGGATATTTTGGGGGGAAAAAAAACCTTCAAGTTTGCAAGATATGATAGACCTGGGAGATGTAAGAGTCCGATGTATATTTGCTGGATTCCTTATTTTTCCCCCCATTCTGTATATATATATATATATATATATATACAGACACACACACACACACACACACACACACACACACACACCA